GCACAGGGTTGAAGACCTCTGCTTTAGACTATCAGTTGGTACCTAAACAGTCTAATTTTTTTCATATTTCATATTTTTCCATTTTTCTTGTCATTTGTTCTATAAATATTTAGTTTTATAGTATTTACTATATATTTGGTAAATGGCTTGAACTTATATAGTGCCTTATCAAGTCCACTTGGACCCCAAGGTGCTATACGCTTTCAGACATTCACCCATGCGCACACACATTCACACACTGATGGAGGTAAGCTCCAGTCACAGCTGCCCTGGGGCACACTGACAGAGGCAGGGCTGCCATGCACCAGCACCACTGACCACCATCAGTAGGCAAGGCGCCAAAATATATTTAAATATCTTAGCGCACATGCTAAAAATGAGGTTCTGCAAATCCTTAGAAAATACTGTACAATTGTTTCTAGAGGCTTCACACTGAGAAAAATCCAGGCTGACCTTTCTTGTTCCCCATGATGTTTGTATTCAGCAGAGAGGCAAAAGAGCTCTGTTTGGAGAGCTGGGCCTTTGCTGCGAGGGCGTTGTTCCACAGAGCCTTTATTAGCATGGAAGCCAGGTATAAAGTCTAAGAAAAAACAAAGGATAGTATTTAAATCCCACAGGAAAAGACTAACAACTGGTCGGTAAAGTTCAGAAATTGTATTTGTTACAAAACCTGCTCAGTGTGGGCACTTGGATGCAGGCTAGACACCAGGTTTAGAACATGGCGAAGAGGCACTGGGTCCAGGTTTTTAATAAGTGAAGGGAAAAGGTCGTGGATGTAGCGGCTGCAATGTTTCAACTAAGAACACACAGGAAGAGTAAAAATAAGAAATCTTGTTTGTCTAAAAATGTTTAATAGAGATGAGAAACCACATAAATGTTAAAAGCAACCCAGCTTTGCTGCTTTATCATTTTGAGAGCAGAAATGTAATGTATTGCTTAGGTGACTCCGTGTTTCTTCTCAGTAAAAAGAGCATTCATTAGAGAAGCTGTCTGCAGTCATTTGAACAGCTGTTTCACTTTACCTGAGCTGCAGCCCAGATACAGTCAATATGCTGTGTGCTGAGTCGGCCTTCTGCAGCCAAGAAGTTCAGGATCACTTGGCACTGTTTAATGATCTACAAAACACACACAAGCAGCAAGAAGAAAAAATACAGATTCACTGTTTAAGTAACCAGAGGAGACAGGTCACTGATTGTAATGAAACCTAAATACAATATTTTGGGAATGTCAGTTCATTCTACAGTTCTTACCTCAATGTGCAAATTTGGTCCAAAAATGTGCTCCACTACATTGTTTTGGATCAGCCAGTCAGCTAATTCCTTCGCTATGGACCTGAAAGCATTTTTGAGATACTCAGTGAGGTAAAACACATTAAACAAAACTCAGCAGGAAGAAGGTGGAAACAAAAAGCTGGAATTTGTCGGCTATATTTTTTTACATTCTTGCTACAGATTTAGCTAACTAGATCTTTAAATAGAATTAAAGGCACCTTCTTTTACAAATAGGCATCTAACTTACGTTTCTGTGTCAGACACCAGGGACTCGTTGTTGCACACATCATTGAATGTGTGGAGCTGATTCTGAAGACACAAGCATTATGAGAAATAACACAACGTTATCCAGGGCTATTCAACTACCGTATTTATTCATGTATAATACGATTTCATGTATAATACGACCCCCCTTTTTTTAATCTTAAAAAGCATAAAAAATTTAATCCTCAAACTACCTCCAATTTCATACAGACTTCAAGATTTTTCAACCTTTGCAGTTTTTATACATATCAGTAAAATGATCATTGGACTGTCCATTTTATTTTATCAACATATGTACTAAAAGGTATTTTGACAACAAATATATATCAGCTGTAGCAGCATCATATGAATTCTGGCATTTTACACAT